ATTATATGTTGATTTATTTCCAAAAATAGTAATTAAATGAATTTTAAGGAACTTCTAGTTTCTCTTTTTGTATATATATGTTAATACATGTACGTACATGTAACATGTAAAATCACGAGATATTACCATTATTATTTTTTTATTTACGTACGTAATGCAAAACATATGACGGCCACTGTATATTACCGTTACCATTCAACGTGGCTTTGAATGCTAATTTAGCGTAAACTAAACAAGCACTTATGTGTTCATTCAGATACTTTTAAAGAAATTTTCATAGTTCCAATTATGCAAGTTTCATTGTCGTCATTATATAAAGGTCAGAACGGCAAAATAAATTTAAAAATGGAAGTGACCATCGGTGCCAATTTTTAAAATTCCGAGTGTTTTAAATGGATATTACATAGTTCGGAAGTAGTTTAATGAGATTTTCTAGTTTTTACTACGTATCATTTTTACTTTATATAATACTGATTTAAACTTGTTTATAACGACTTTTAATCAAGTTTAATTAATGAAGCTAAGTAATTGACTTATCTATTTAATATTTTCAATGACAGAAAAACCAGTTTAAGAACTGGTTCGGTTCCAAAGTATTTTAAGCAATTGCTCATTCTGGGCAGCATTTTTCTTTATATCTACTAATTAAACTTGTTTGTAGCAATTTTTCAAATAACATTCTCAAAATTTGTGACACTACTTAACATCCCTAGTTTTTAATACTTAAGCAAAGTATCTTTTTACGAAACAAATACATGTAGAACCAAAAAATAATTATGCCTTCTATCGAAGTAAAAACTAACGTCAAGGTAAAAAGAAAAAAATTAATGAAATATATAAAATAATTATTACGCTTACATTATATTCACGTCAATAGGTTCAAAACCATAAAGAATTTCTTAAAGAAATTTCAACTCTGGCTGCTACACTTCTTCCGCATCCCGTCGAAGGAATGGATGTTGCGTTACAAGACGGTCTTTCTCTTCTCTTTGCCAACTCGGATGCGCCCGCTTATATTGTCCATATCAATTGTCTTGGAGGTTTTGGTGATAACATGAAAAACCGTGAAATTTCAAAAGCGTTCGCTAATTTTCTTACGGAAAAAATAGGAGTACCAAGTAATCGAGGATATTTGTTTTTCAATGACCCGGGCTACGCGCACGTTGGACTCGCTGGTACTACCGCTGAAGAAGTTTTATTAAACAAATAAAATTCTTTCTTTGAAGAGTTAATTATAAATCAGAACTTACAATATCTATTAGGTCAAACGAAAATATTGCAACTATTAGTCACAATTAATTAAATAGCCTTTGAAGCATGAGTATAAGCAAAAAATTAATTATCTTTTGAGCGTCAAGTAGAAAATTTTTAAATGTGATCTTATGTTTCATAAATAAAACAAATACAATGCTAATAGACAGTTATATTAATAAAAAGTTCGTTAGATCAAATTTATGTAATAATTTTGAGTTCGTTATACTCCTTGTTCGTTATAAAAAGGTTCGTTATATCCAGAGTTGACTGTATTCTTAAGTACACAGTCGACCCCTGTTAAACTGAAGCATAAATTAAAAATTGCATATATCGAACTTGGTTCCAGAATAACCCTCGATAAATCATGTTGTTCGGAAACAGCAGCGATAGCAATCTGCCTCGATAAACTGGATTTACTAAATAAAATTAACGTTAATAACTGGATTTTAATAAATTTTCTAACCGCTTCGGTTTAACTGAGTTGACTATGCATTTCGTGTGTTCATTTACACAACTTATTATAATGCTTATTAAAAAGAAATACATACAGCGACTTCCACAAAAAATGAAACTATTAACTGTTCTACAAGCATCGAATCAAATCCAACAAACTACTATACCAAACTCTACCAACATAATTTTACTTGCATCTCATGAATACCTGGCTGATGAATGAAAAAGAGTCAAATTAAATGAATCTGAAGAATGTAGAAGACCTCATTATGACAGGACCAATCCAGTAATGTCAAATATTTATCTCCAAAAATTCAAACTGAAGAGCCTCCAGCTCACACTCCAGAATTAGTACATCAAAAAAGGAATCTAAAACGAAAAAAAGTTTCCTTATCTGTTTTAGTCTTCAATTATTTCATAAAAGGGAAGTGATATTATGACAAAGTTAAACTTGCTACAAAAAAACCTTTTTATCAATGGCATAAAATTTTTAACTATTAATACTATGACATATTTAGAATTAATCTAATACAAAATAAGAAAATAATAATTTGTTATATTAGTACAAAGATTATTACTTTTGTATATAATATATAAAATTAGAAATTTGATATAAAAAAGATATTGTGACAAATTTAGAATTTTTTTCTATTATTATATATTACTCATTTTCTTATTAAACTTGTTTTTTCTAACTCATTCTTTTTTGTTCTAGCTCTTATACAGTTTTCTTTTAAACTATTATTTAAAATTCTAATTATAATTTGATTTGTTATAATATATTCATCTGAGTTAAAATAAAAAATATATAATATTATTATATAAAAAATTCAAAAGAATTTATTATTTCTTTTTAATTCTAGTTAATTCTATTATTCTTTTTTAATATTTAACAATTAGCAAGCTAATATTAAATTTGAATAACTAATTCAAAATTTATCAAAATAATATTCAAAATTATATATATATTTATTAACCAAAATACAAAATTATCTAAAAAACTATTAAAATAAGTAAAAAAAATTACAATTTTAGTAAAAAGTAAAAGTTATAATTATTTTTATTGATTTTATTATTAAAGTTTTTGAAAATTCAAAAATTATAATATTTAATATAAATAATTAAAATAGTTTCTTAAAGCAATTAATAACTTTTTAATTATTATTACTAAAGTTATAATTTTCATTAACAATAATATTATTAAAATTTATATTTATAACAAATTAATTAAAATAATTTGGTTAAATAAAATTAACCAAATTTATATAATAAAAATATAATATTTAATTAAATTAACCAAAAAAATTTTTAAATTAAATTTATATGTATTATGTAAATTATTATACATAAAGTAAATTTCTCGGTTTCACATCAGCAAAAATATTTTTTGACACGGAGCCCGGATTTTTATTTGTTAAATTTAAAAGTTTTTGAATATAAGTGAAATTGTAGCTAGAAATCTCAGCTACAACTTTACTTAGAAACATTTTTGTATTTCTTATTGGGAATTTAAACTTTCCAACTAAAATGTTTTTATTTATACGTTTATAAATAATTACTATATAATCCTGTAAATATTCATCAATATCAACTTTCTTATAAAAATTTGTAGCTTTAATTATGTTTTACAACTTTACTTATAATCATAGTTTATATTTTCTATTAAAAATAAAAATATGCATTGACATTATGAAAGTGAATTGAAAATCGTAATTATTAAAAATATTTTTTAAATCTATACAACTTTATGAATATTGATTGTAAATATCAACTATTTTATACCGATTTGTAGCTCTGATTATAACCTACAAATTTACTTGGAACTAATTTGCCAGTTCGAATTTGAACTTTATAAATACTAATTACTGCGCCTCGAAATTAAAATTTCTCAACTTCGATTTGGTGACCCGGCCAGGGTATGAAAACCAGAAAATTTACTTTGTGTGGCCTAATGATAAACGGTGGATATAATTGCACCGATATTTCTTATAATCGTGGTTATTGGTCTGGAAGGCGCTGGAAACATGTTCACTTGCATTATTAAGTTGAGAATCGCAATTATTGCTATTGTTTTTTTTCTCGTGTTGGCGATTTACGCTGGCAATTTCAAATATCAAAAGATGACAATACTTTTTTGTTTCTTCGTTCATTATTTGCTGATTTTCTCTTGTATACAGGAAAGAAAGTTTATAATAATAGTTTCTTTTGGCTATGATGATGATAAAAAAACAAACTAAGGCTTCGAGTTTTTTTGTTTGTCGTTTTTATCGGTTTTTATTGTTGTTTGGGAATTATTTTTTTTGTAATTATAGATGACGAAGTGAATTTGAGTGAGGGTCAAAAGACAGATTGTTGATATCCTCTTTTATATGGAATTCACCAAATATTTATTGTAATCTAGACATTTATAGATAATTTACAGATAAGAGGAATATTGTATGTTTTGCAAAACGTGGAAGGAAATTTTCGATATTAATTATGTGCTGGGTGCGCCCGTGCCAATTTTAATTTTGTTGAATAGAGCGCATCCTATTTTGAAAAAAATCTATCACATATAGAATGTTATATAACATCAATTATATTATTATCTTGAGAAATTGATACAAGATCCAACGAATTTTATTGAATAAAATATGTACGTATGACGTTTATTTAATTGATTTTTTTGGCTGAATTTAGTGCTGTTCCTTATATATACGTGTGCTTTATCGTTAGAGAATCACATTAAAAGCATGAAAATTATATTTTTAATTTGTTAGCATAAAACATTAGCGTTAGAGAAAAACAAATTATAATTCACCAATATCTTCATCCTTCCCCAACTCGAAAACAGTAATGTTTATCGTTCACTTTATGTTTTTTATTATCAATAATTTTTAGAAGAGACATCTATCTATTCACCATTTAATGTATCCGTCTTAACTTTTTTAAATAGTGTTTGACTTCAATTCGCATTCAGTAGCTTTTTTGTGTAGACATAACTCGCGCAGCGACACCAACTATTCTCTCATAATAACACCCAGATTGAAAGAAAGTCATGCTTACCAGTTTCATTTAATAAAGAGCATGATATTGGAAGTGTTTCATCATGAAGTTGTTCTTGAAGGAAATTCGATACATCTCCATTCTCGTTAATTTCTGTTTGCAATCCAAAAGAGAAAATAGCAATGAATTAATGAAGTATTAAATATAATTTTACCTTCGTTTTGAACAAACCAAAATATTCGACTGGTGTAAACTGCATTGGTGTGTATTTTTTTTTATTGTATTTGTAGGAATACTTATCGTTATTGGATCTTTCCTTTCATATAATTTCTGCTTTTCTGACACTCAATAATTTTTTAACGTGTCTTAGGAGATTCTAAAGAGCTGTAGTACTGAAAATGCAAAGTATTCAGTTTTCAACCCGTAGCATTCTTGTAGCTTGAGTTGATACAGTCGATAAAGCGGTAAAGTTTCTCAGTACTTGGTCTGTTTTTTGAAATAGGATCCCAACATTTTTTAATTATAAACTTGAATAATTTAGGAACATTATTTGGTATCGTAGGTCATACTCTGTTATAGATGTCTAATACGAGATCATTACTATGACTCCGTTCCCTGAATGGTCGTTTACCTGTGGCAACCTCGTACGTTGTCATTCCAAAGCTATAAATATCTGCAGTTTTAGTGTATGACTTTCCATTAATACCTCTGGATTCATATAAGGAAGAACTCCGCAGATTTTTTGATCAGATTTTTCTATATCTGCTGGTAAGTCCAAAATCAGCAATTCGAGCAGCTTCAAACTGTATTAATATATTTCCAGGGTGAAAGTCACGATGCACAAGTTTATTTCTGTGAATATCATTCAACCTTTCAATGCTATTTTTCCAAGTCAATGCTTTGCATTATACGTACGTATTTGCGTATATCGCCATCTTTTGCATAATCCATCAATGTACGAAGACCAGTGCATACCAACAATGGTGAAGAATGGAAAGTGTCATGGAGAAGTTTTTCCTGCGACTAAAGTTTTTCCTACGACTAAAGTTGTATACTAAGCGTGTGATGTCTTCCATAACAATACAATAGCTTGACAACATCAAATTTAATTACCATCTTGCTCAGTAATTTAAATAAGATTCGTTCAATTTTTTTAATATGAAAATTAACATTTATAATCTTCAAATTAGCTTAAACTGTCAAATCTATGGTCAAAGACTTGTACTTTAAAATACAGAGGCCTCCCAGAATATTGTGAACACTTTTTAAAATATAATAACACAAAACTAATAAAAAAGCAAGATTTATAATACTAAGCTAATAGAAACATTGAAACTTATTGTACATTATATCAAAATTGAAAGTGATTTCAATAACTAGTTCAATATATATATATATATATATAAAATTTAGTATCAAACTGAAAATTTATGCAAAAAAATTATTCTATTTTATAATATACAAATATCTTCATATCCAGTAAACCAAATTAAATAAATTTATATCACCAGATTTACC